GCTCCTCTGTCCTGAGAGCCTAAGCTGGCAGAAGCTGGGGGTGGCCAGAGCCACACTAGAGCTGCGGGTGACCTGTGCATCCTGCAACAGATGTGATGAGGAAAGGGAGACCAGAGAGTCTTGTGGACAATCCATGGCAACAAAAGTATGTGCGCACTCAGTAGTGAGCACTGAGAAACTTGGGGGCTCTCTGCCAATACCACGGGCTCTCAACGCACTGTAGTCCAGTAGCTAAAGAAATGTCCCTGTGGTGGGTTATAGAGTTTTTAAAACTAGTGTCAACTGAAAATGAGAAATATCAGGCACAAGAGTTTTATAAAAATTTCAAGAAGTAAAATTTAAATCTTGTTAGCTTAATTTTTCTGAAAATGGGAAAAGATCGAGTTTGTGATCAATTTTAGCAGCAGAATAGCATTCATCCGATCTGTGGCACACCAGGGTTCCTTCTGCCTGATGACCCAGCCCTTCTGTCAGTAACTCAGACCACACCCAACCTGGGACGTAGCCCCAGGTGCACCATCAGCCAGGGCAGAGGCATTTATTGGCCCTCAGAAATAATAGTGATTCTGGGGCTCCACTAGCTTGCTTTTGTGGGGGTAGATACTTAGAGGGTCATTGCTGAAGAAACAGACATGAAGCTGATGAAACTTTAAAATTCATTGATAAGCAGACTCTTGGTCTCCACACGGCAGGCCAGTCCACCTATCTAGAAAGGGGTTCTAACTTACCCACCCTTTCCTTCGCACAGTCTCCTCTCCACCCCATCCCAGCCTCCCCTACAAGCCCCCAATCGGGCCTGGATGGCAGCAACTCCACGCTGTCTGGCAGCGCCAGTAGCGGTGTGTCCTCCTTAAGTGAGAGTAACTTTGGGCATTCCTCAGAGGCCCCACCTCGAACAGACACCATGGACTCCATGCCAAGCCAGGCCTGGAATGGCGATGAAGACCTTGAGCCACCCTACCTCCCTGTCCACTACAGCCTCTCTGAGTCCGCTGTCCTTGACTCCATCAAGTCCCAGCCATGCAGGAGCCACTCAGCCCCAGGGTGTGTCATCCCTCAGGACCCCATGGACCCACCTGCGCTGCCACCCAAGCCCTATCACCCCCGCCTGCCAGCCCTAGAGCACGATGAGGGGGTGCTACTTCGGGAGGAGGCTGAGAGGCCAAGGGGCCTGCACCGCAAGGCCTCACTGCCTCCTGGGAGTGCCAAAGAGGAGCAGGCCCGCATGGCCTGGGAGCATGGCCGAGGGGAACAGTGAGGAGCAGAGAGGCAGCTGCACCACCATCATCCATGAGCAGCTTGCCCAGGCACTCCAGGTCTGAAAAGCAAGTCCCTCCCAGGGAGCTGGAGGCTTGGCACTCAGGAGAAAACCACCAAGAGTCTCTGTTCTACTGCCGTGAACTCATGTTTTGCCATGTTCAGAGGCCACAGCAGCATGAAGGGTTGTGGCTTCTTTCATTTTACTTTTTGTTTCCATTTTTCTGGGTTTTTCTTTATGCAGTAGTTGCTTTCTTCCTCCTGCAGTTCCAGACCACATGGAGCTATATGGAAATATTGCACAGACATAATTGCTTTGCAGCACTGCAGAGTCCAGGAACAGGAGCCCAGGCCCTCTCTCCATGATAGAGATTTGGAGAATGGAAGTTGCACTAGGGACCTCTTCCTTTGCTGTATGGACAGAAAATTCTTGAGTGCATTCAGGGATTGCAAGGACCACATGGACTACATGTCACAGGTGGACAAAGGGGCCACAAGCCGTTTTGCACAATGCTTGTCCACCTGCCCACTCTTCCCATCTAGAGTGTGCAGCTGAGGGGCCAGTCAGGCCCATGGCTGCCCTAACTGCATGCCGAGGGCATACTACCAGGCTTCCATGGGCCAGGCTTGTCTCGTATCCCACGTGAACGTTATTCGTCACTTTTATTTTGGACCTTTTGCTCCTTTCCACTCAAAACACCTCATGATCTGCAGAAGCCTCCCTGGCTCAAATGGACTCTAAAGGGTTATTATCTCTTGTCCTGGGGCTGGATGAAATGAAGATAGAAGGGCGTTCACTCCTGCAGGGAGTTAGGCCCCTTCCCTTTTATTAGAAAGAGCTGGTGTAAGAGTGAGGCTGGAGTGTGGCAGGAGCCAGAAAACCTTTTTGCTTTCACAGGTGGCCCCAAATGCCTGCCATTTAGAGCCTGAATCAGGGATTTTCAGCACTACCTCTGAGCCTTGGGGTTGGCTGCCCAGCCTGGCTTCCAGGCCCTGAGGATGTGTGGTCAGGTTCAGCAAGCTCCTGGGTTTAAAAACATACATACATACATACATACATACATACATACATACATACATACATACATAAATAATGAACGGTGGGAGGAAACTTCTTTTGGAGACAGAGAGCCACACAGGTAAAACTGTTATCTTCCACACGGCCAAGTACTGAGCCCTCCACGCCAAACCCATAGGGACTGCCCACCACTCAGGGTTCAGGACAGGCAAAAGGGCAGTTTTTCCAAACCTCCCCAGTCTGTCAGGCAGGGCACAGTGGTGACTTTATAGGAAATTCTTTCATGTCAGGGTACTGACTTTACTCTTGGTATTATGGCGGGGGTATGGTAATATTTCACCAGGGTGCTTCTAAGTTACTTTTTAAAATAACTTGTCTTGAGGCAATTGTTTCCTTTTATTTGCTTACATTCACATCAGTGATGGCCATAAAACTACCTTCTCCTTGATGAGCAGGTATGTTGCTCCCTCCCCAATTCCCTTTAACTTGTCGGCCTTCTGGCCTGCTGTGGCCAAGTTCTGGCCCAGAGCTACTCATCCCTTGTCCACAATTCTTTCCAAACAGAAAAACCCATGTTCGCGGTGTTTTTCTCTTATAAACAAGTTTAATAGAACTGCCAGCAAATAACCTATGGAAAAAGAAAGAAGACCCATTTCCATTCAGAGTATATTGGGGCCCAGGTACCAACAGTGTAGGGCTTTCTGATACCCTCAGGATCATTCAGGCAGAGTAGAGCAGAGACTGTTGAGGATGTAGGCCAATCCAATAGCCCCAGCTCCAAGGGCACAGACCTGAGCCTAGACTCACTGGTAAGCTTGGCTTTGGACCTTCTGGGTTCACAGGTATGAGGGTCAAGGTGTAGCTTTGAATGTGATTCTTAGGTAGGGCAGCTTTAGGTTTCCAGGCATGTCTGAACCGCAGTCCATGGAGGCAGCCAGTCATCACATGCAGACATCTCCCTTCTCCACTTGATGGCACAGGAGGTAGGGAGAGGAATGTAGGGTGAAGTTCCTCGGCCTTGCTTTATGCAAGGTGAAAAATATTTGTGTTGCTCCTCTCCATTTTCTCTAACTGGATGAAATGGACCTATTCTGAATACTTTTTATTGAGAAATCAGCCAGTGTGAGGGAAATGGGAGGCCAGAGATCAGAATCCTTTGAAAAGATTGTGAAATATTGATTTTCATTCTTTAAAGCGTATTTGTAAATACCTATTTGAATGCTGTGTATTTGTACAGGAATTTGAGCAAAAAATGTATAGAGTGTCTAATTGGTAATAAGCCCTATAAATGTGTTTTTAACCTCTGGCATTCTGTGCTTATTTAAAACAAAACTAACCATTTCTTTTGTGTACTCATGTCTAAAGAAAAACTGACTTAAAATGATCTTACCTGTACCAGAAAAGTTAAAAAAAAAATTGTGCCAGTGTCCCAAGAGGCATTTTACTGTATATACTGTGGTAGCATGTTATAAATCCAACAAGAAATGTGACTTTTAGATGTAAATATCTGGCAATTGACTCCCCCCCCCCCAATCCCTTGACTGCTGTGATGTGAATTAAAGATGAATACCTGATATCGATCCACTGATTTCACTGAATGGGAGCATAAGTGCCCCTCTCAAACCCTTGTCGCCGGGCTCTAAGCCCTTTTAGCTGCAGATACCTTTCTGCACTTTAGTCGGCCGCTCTCCGTATTCCGCCTTCCAAGGCGAGTGGCCAAAGCTCTTGCACTTAGCTAGCATTAGGGCAGTCCAAGCGGTAACGTCTCCAGTTACCATCCGCGCGTCTCCAAGAGTGGAGAACAAAACCTCCCAAGATCCCATGGCCTCCATTGGGAAGCTAGACCAACGCCTCTGCTCGCAACCTTGCGGGGAGGTCCTCAGACGTCCAAGACAGCAGCTGACTAGGCATACCTAGAGCCTTTCGTTTAAGACGTTCTGCAGTCTGACCCAGGATAAAGCGGGGTCTAGGCAGCCGGCGAATGAAAGTGGACGCTCTTCAAGATTGGTTCGCCAATCCACGTGTAGTTCAAAACAAGGAACCGCTTCTGATCCTTGCTCGTGCCGTCTATCCTGTTGGCTATGGGGTGACGGCAGAAATCCCGCTTTACGAGTCCGGGACGCGGGAGGAGAGTGAGTTTGAAGCCAAGACAAGGTATTCGGGTCGAGTCAACAGATTGAGAGGGTTCCCGGTAAGCAGCCAAAGCAGCTGCCCTTACTCAACATGGCGGCCTCGTGCACCTTCCGCCCAGCTGCTGTCTATGGACCGCCCAGGCTCAATCAGCAACCGACAACTGTCTAGGTCCCAGACACACCAGCCAATGGAGAAGGGTAGCGTGGAGCCGCCGGTCTGGGCTCCTGGGCACGTGGACCAATGAGGATGCGGCATATGGGTGGGCGTGGGGAACGCACGCCAATGAGAAACCCCGGTTTGTGTTCCAGCCCACTAGGCGGAGCACCGCGCCGGGTGCGGTTCATTCGCGCGGCGGCGGCGGTGGAGGCGACGGCCGAGGAGGATGTGGGCTACGCGCGGGCTGGCGGTAGCGCTGGCCCTGAGCGTGCTGCCTGACAGCCGGGCGCTGCGGCCAGGCGACTGCGAAGGTGCGGGGGGCCGGGTGGGGGCGGCCTGGCGGCGCTAAACCCAACGAAACCGAAAGGGTGGGAGCGACGGCCCGTCCCGGGGGCTCCGCTGGAGAGAGGGCCTCAGAGTTATTTCCCGGGCCTAAAAACGTTGACCCATTTAAGGGAACGCGACAGTTCAGTCGCGTTGAAAATTTGGCTAGAAGCCCACATCGCGGGAGTTTTTGTCCTTTCCCATCACTTTAGAGATTACAGGAAGAGATCCTGTGGGCCGCAACCGTCCCGGGGTTACTAAGCTGCACTTAGGGGTTCGATGTATTCAGAAAGAGGAGCGTTTTGATCGTTTGCTTCAGCCTCCAGTCTATCCCTTATGAGGTCACAGTGAGTTCTCAAGGACACGTGTCCACTCTCGCCTTAAACTTGAAAAGAGCAGAGAGTGTGGGTCACTTGGGTAATGTTCATTCCCGGCATGCTGTGGGTACTAGGACCCCAGCAACCTAAGGGTTCTGTGCACTTGTGAGTACCTAGGGGTGGGGGTGGGGGGAACACATTTTAATCCCTTCTATCAAAACTGCTGACAGAGTTTCTTCCTGGGGAAATGGAGACTAATAACTACTTAATATCTCCTCCCTCTTTTCCAGTTTGTATTTCTTATATGGGAAGATTTTACCAGGACCTTAAAGACAGAGATGTCACATTTTCACCAGCCACTATTGAAGAAGAACTTATAAAGTTCTGCCGTGAAGCAAGAGGCAAAGAGAATCGATTGGTAAGTAACTGGTCACCCACCTAGGCTGTCCCGGCTCATGTGTGCTGTCTGTCCGTGTCATGATGGAACGTGTGTGTAAACTAATATGAGGCCTAAGTGCTTCTCTCCTCTAGTTAATACTATAAGCTGAGTATTGGTAATGCCAGGAGAGAAGACTGTCAGGCAAATGCAAAGCAGTGAGTGGCATTTGCTGTAAAGAAAACGCGCTAGTTTGTGGGTAGGTGGGAGAAAGCTATTAGGGAAAGTAGTCCTAGGTTTCTCTGAGGAAGGGGTCAATGAAGAAGTGAGCACATCCAGGCAGTGTGAGCGCCCAAAGGCCAGAAAGACTTTGGTGTGTTCGGAATCAGAAGTAGTTGGTGAGGTGCCCCAAGATGGCCAGGGCCCAGTCCAGGTCAAGAGCCCCGGTGAAGCATCAGCCTTGTAGCTTTAATTTCAATGGTAGTCTGTCATTGGAACTCTAATGGCTCCTGTACTCATCTGGAAACTCTGGGACTGAGCTTGTATCAAGTACCTGGGGCCTAGAACAGCTGCATCTGAGCAATGCTAACAAACTGAAGCCGTGGCAAAGAGAGGTTTTCAAGATGGCCTAACAGTTGTTGTCTGGAACTGGAGAGTTTGTTATGAATGTATACTGCTCTTGTGGAGGACCTGAGTTTAGTTCCTAGCATCCACAGCATCCTGTAACGCAGCTCCAGGGAACCTGATGCCTCTGGCCTCCTCTGACACGTGCACCTACTCATGCGTGGAGTTTAAGGCTTTTGTTTTGTTATTGTGTTTGTTTTGTTTTTGTTTGTTTGTTTTTTACAGTGCTACTACATTGGAGCCACAGATGATGCCGCCACCAAGATCATCAATGAGGTATCGAAGCCCCTGGCCCACCATATCCCTGTGGAGAAGATCTGCGAGAAGCTGAAGAAGAAAGACAGCCAGATCTGCGAGCTAAAATATGGTGAGTGTGACCAGGAGCGTGTGCCTTCTGCCATCTCTGCATGCCCTTTCTGGGCTTAACGTTCTAGCCAGAAGAGTCATCAAGAGTGGGTTTGTAGCATAGAGTATGATACTCTCTGCTGCAGGGATCAGACTTCCACATCAAAGATGGTGGAGGTCAGGGTGAGAGGGGACTTGTTAGCACACTCTGAAGGGTCGAGGATTGACCAAAAGGCCTGATTGAACAATGCAAATAGAGGTTATAGATAGTGGCATAGTGCATAGGAGGTCAAGTTGGACAGAGCCTTGAGAGGAATTTGGCTTTTAGTCTAAATAAACTTGGGAGTATCAGAAGTTTTTGAGCAGAGAAGTGATGTGGTGGGAACTTGAGTTCAATAGACTTGTCATGGCTGTGCTTGAGATGATGGCTCTAAACCCCAAGCATGATAGTTACAGCATCACCATGGCAGAGCCCATCTGGTTGTACATAATCCCAGTCTTGAGAAGCGCCAGGCCTCTCCCATAAAGTTTAAACACTGCCAGTGTTTACTGTACCTCGTGTCTGGGAACCTTGTGCTTCTGTGAGTTTGATTTGGTACCCTGGTTGGCTCTTGTGTCGGTTTGTTTGGGTCACATGGGTTATGGAGTAAGCATCTGACTCTGGTGCCACGTGGGGACACCGGGGATGTGTCTGCTCTACCACCAGCCTGGAGCTGTCATTTTGTGCTGACATGTAGGAAGTCCTTGGGGAACTGGAGCTATGTTCCTCCTCTGAACCATGTGGGCTGTCTGCACTGCGAGTCCTGTTAGTGGCTGCTAACAGCCTGAGGTGGCCTTCCTGGTGAAGAATGTCAGTTTGCTCTTGGGTGCAGTATACATTTGTCTCCCCTGCCGCAAGTAGGGCTGGTCATCTAAGGAATGGTTTGGCATGCAGCACAGTCGGGGCCTGCAGCCTCTCCTACCCAGCCATTTACTATCCTGCTCTCCCTGCAGACAAGCAGATTGACCTGAGTACAGTGGACCTGAAGAAGCTCCGGGTGAAAGAACTGAAGAAGATCCTGGACGACTGGGGGGAGATGTGCAAAGGCTGTGCAGAAAAGTCTGACTATATCCGGAAGATAAATGAACTGATGCCTAAATACGCCCCCAAGGCAGCCAGCGCACGAACTGATCTGTAGTCTGCACCTGAGGGGAAAAAGCAGTTCATCTGTCTCTTCCCCAAACAACCATTTTGTAATTTATTTTTTAAGCGGGCTCCTGACAATGAGATGTGAAGCCTGGAGCTTTCCTAATGATGATGTTGGCTCTGCGGTGCCCCTCACCCCCATCCCCAAGTGGAGAGGAATTTACTTCCTTCTTTTGCTGGTTTACTCTAGGACTTCAAAGTTTGTCTGGGATTTTTTTATTAAAGAAAAAAAAATTGTCTTTGGAGAGTTGAGCTGGTACAGTATTCTATCCTATAGATTATTGGTTTATCTTTCCAGTCTGAGAAGATCCCACAGCGCGCCATTGCTGAGGGCCAGAAACCCCCATAACAGGACTTAAGAGCTTGGGCAGTCAGCGTGTTGTGGGTTTAGATTTCTGGGTGTCTGATACTTCAGCCTCTTGAGGTTAGACTTGACCCCTGACCCCCATCCAATCCAGTAGCAGGGGCAGAAGATAGGCCCATTTCTAGGCTTAGGTTAAGTCTAAAGTACATTTACATTTGGCTCAGCATATGCAGAATAAGCAGAGAATTTTCTGCACTGAGTGCAGGTGGTCGGAACTAGCATTTCTTTACTCCTGGTTATTCATTGGGGTTCCAGTCTAGCATCAGAACAAGGCCATTGCTTACTTGGATTTTGGCAAGTCTGTTGAGCCTGGTCGCAGTCTAGGGCCTGAAAGAGTTGTGTGCAGTATGGTTTTCAGTTGCTCCCTTTCTGGCACTTGTAAACTGTGCCTCAGTGGGGACACTTTGCTCCTGTTGCTTCTAAAGAGCATGTGAAGCGACTGCTAAGAAGTTATGTTTTCCAAAGAGCTCGTCTTAGCTGTCTTCTTGTGTGGTCCCCAAGTTCACTTTGCATCCACGGGGCCTGCCTTCCTGCCATGAAGCCCTCTGCTGTTCCTTCCAAGTTCCTCCTGCATTTTTCTCCTGTTGATTGCTTTCTGCTTATGGGAGGAGGGAAGAACTGGGTGCATTCTTCGTCATTCTACAGATACATCAATGGACCCAGCAACCATCTGTGGAGAACATAAACCCTAGCGGCCTTTGAGTACCCTTGCTGGTATACCACCTCACCTCCTGAATGTGGGCAGACGCCAGCAAGATGTCAACATGGCAAAAGTGATAACTAATGGCATTACCGGCTCTTTTTTACCCTGGGCTCCACAGACCCACCTTTCCAGCCTCCTGTCTGCTCAGACACCTACAGCAGAAATTTGGACCCAGAGGCACCAAGATGCCTGTCTGTAGGTTGCAAATGCATTCTTTCTAGTTTCTGTACGTGGACCCAGGGAGGTCTCACCCGTGTCTATAGTCTTCGTTTTTAGAGTCTTGTCAGGACAGTGCCTGAAGAATCTGAATGCATAAGATGCCTGGATGTGGGTCCTGGACAGGGCGTAGGGATCCTTGTGTGTCTGCCTTTAAGGATGCCACGTCTGGTCCCAGTTAGAAGACTCCATGGAAGGATGGAAGGGAATAGAATTTCTTCAGCCTAGTGGCAGGTTTGAGTGGGATACAACACTTGGCTTCCGGCCAAGCAGCCACACCTGTTCCAGGGGGCGGGGCCCGGAGTCCGCAAAAGGTAGGCGGACCCGGAGTAGCAAGCCCTAGAACACAAAGCAAAGTGCAGCCGGGGCCTGCCGGGCTCCAGAGGGAATCCGCGCACAACCAGGCAGCCGGGTGCCTAGGTTCCACCAGCCACGCGGCGGCGCCCGAGCTCGCGGTCAGGCCGGCTCCTCTGTTTGCCAGGATGTCACGTGGTGCAGGGCCGCCGAGCCGGATAATAGGCGGCGAGCGAAACTCTCGTCCCGCCCACCTCAGTCACGTGGTGCGGCCGGCGCAGCTTGATAACGCAGCTCCCAGCCCCTCGGCGCCGCTCCCGCCCCGCCCCGCCGCCGCCGCCGCGCCGAGTCCTTTTGTCCAAGATGGCGGCGCCGGGGGCGCTGCCTCCTGGGCCGCCGCCGCCGCCGCCGCTCTGAGGGACCTGCGGGCCGCCCGCCCGCCAAGCCGGCGCAATGAAGCGGCAGAACGAGCGAGACTCCAGCCCGAGCGGGCGTGGCTCGTCATCGTCCGCCAAGCGGCCGCGGGAGCGCGAACGGGAGGCAGAGGCGGGCGGGCGGCGAGCAGCGCACAAGGCCTCCGGCGGCACCAAGCACCCGGTTCCAGCGCGGGCTCGTGACAAGCCCCGCGGCAGTGGCGGAGGCGGCGGACATCGCGACGGGCGTGCTGCTGGGGATGCGAATCACCGGGCGAGCAGCGGGCGCTCCTCGGGCGCGCCCGGAGGCGGAGGGCGCACCGGCAAGGCCTCCGGAGACCCGGGTGTTGGCGGCGCGTCGCCCCGCTCATCTCCACTCCCGCCGCCCCCGCCGCCCCCCGGGGCGGAACCTGCGGGTCCCGGGTCCACGGCGGCCCCAGAGTACAAGACGCTCCTCATCAGCAGCCTAAGCCCTGCGCTGCCGGCCGAGCACTTGGAGGACCGGCTCTTCCACCAGTTCAAGCGGTTCGGTGAGATCAGCCTGCGCCTGTCACACACACCGGAGCTGGGCCGCGTGGCCTATGTGAACTTCCGGCACCCACAGGACGCGCGTGAGGCCCGCCAGCACGCCCTGGCCCGTCAGCTGCTGCTCTACGACCGCCCGCTCAAGGTAGAGCCCGTGTACCTGCGCGGCGGCGGGAGCAGTCGGCGGAGTAGCAGCAGCAGCGCCGCTGCCTCCACGCCACCCCCGGGTCCCCCCACGCCCGCCGACCCTCTGGGCTATCTACCCCTGCACGGTGGCTACCAGTACAAGCAGCGCTCGCTGTCTCCGGTAGCCGCCCCGCCCCTGCGGGAGCCCCGTGCGCGGCACACCGCCGCAGCCTTCGCCCTGGATGCTGCTGCCGCGGCTGCTGTGGGACTGTCTCGGGAGCGAGCCCTGGACTATTACGGGCTCTACGACGACCGCGGGCGCCCCTACAGCTACCAGGCCGTGTGCGAGGAGGACCTGATGCCGGAAGATGATCAGAGAGCCACTCGAAATCTCTTCATCGGGAACCTGGACCACAGTGTATCTGAGGTGGAGCTTCGACGGGCCTTCGAGAAGTATGGCAGCATCGAGGAGGTGGTCATCAAGAGGCCTGCCCGCGGCCAGGGTGGTGCCTATGCCTTCCTCAAGTTTCAGAACTTGGACATGGCACACAGGGCAAAGGTGGCTATGTCTGGCCGAGTGATTGGCAGAAACCCCATAAAGATAGGCTATGGCAAAGCTAACCCCACCACCCGCCTCTGGGTGGGTGGTCTTGGACCTAACACCTCGCTGGCGGCCCTGGCCAGAGAATTCGATCGCTTTGGGAGCATTCGGACCATCGATCACGTTAAAGGAGACAGCTTTGCCTACATCCAGTACGAGAGCCTGGACGCAGCCCAAGCTGCTTGTGCTAAAATGAGGGGCTTCCCCTTGGGTGGTCCAGATCGCAGGCTCCGGGTGGATTTTGCCAAAGCAGAAGAGACTCGCTATCCCCAGCAGTACCAGCCCTCGCCTCTCCCTGTGCACTATGAGCTGCTCACTGACGGATATACCCGGCACCGAAACTTGGATGCTGACCTTAGGGTGCGGGATAGAACCCCTCCACACCTTCTGTATTCAGACCGAGACCGGACCTTTTTGGAAGGGGACTGGACCAGCCTCAGTAAAAGTTCGGACCGCAGAAACAGCCTGGAGGGCTATAGCCGCTCAGTGCGCAGCCGGAGTGGTGAGCGCTGGGGGGGAGATGGGGACCGGAGCATAGCCAAGCCCTGGGAAGAGAGACGAAAGCGGAGGAGCCTTTCCAGTGACCGTGGGAGGACAGCTCACTCCCCTTATGAGGAACGGAGCAGGACCAAGGGTGGGGGACAACAGTCTGAGCGAGGCTCGGACCGCACCCCTGAGCGCAGCCGAAAGGAGAACCACTCCAGTGAAGGGACCAAGGAGTCAGGCAGCAACTCCCTCAGCAACAGCAGACATGGTGCTGAGGAGAGGAGCCACCATCACCACCACCACGAGGCTCCAGATTCTTCCCACGGGAAAAAGTCTAGAGAGAGTGAACGCAATCATCGGACCACTGAGGCAGAGCCCAAGACTCTTGAAGAGCCAAAACATGAGACCAAAAAGCTAAAGACTCTGTCAGAGTATGCCCAGACACTGCAGCTGGGTTGGAATGGGCTTCTAGTGCTGAAAAACAGCTGCTTTCCAACATCTATGCACGTCCTTGAAGGGGACCAGGGAGTTATCAGTGGCCTCCTTAAGGACCACACTTCTGGCAGCAAACTGACCCAGCTAAAGATTGCCCAGCGTCTTCGACTGGACCAGCCCAAGCTGGATGAGGTCACCCGTCGCATCAAGCAGGGGAGCCCTAACGGCTATGCTGTGCTCCTAGCCATCCAGTCAACCCCCAGCGGGCCTGGCGCTGAGGGGATGCCCGTGGTGGAGCCAGGCCTACAGAGGCGGCTTCTCAGGAACCTAGTCTCCTACTTGAAACAGAAGCAGGCTGCAGGGGTGATCAGCTTGCCGGTGGGTGGGTCTAAGGGCAGAGACAGCACTGGCATGCTCTATGCCTTCCCACCCTGCGACTTTTCACAGCAGTACCTCCAGTCAGCACTGCGGACATTGGGCAAGTTAGAGGAAGAACACATGGTGATAGTTATAGTAAGAGACACCGCCTAGCCCACACCTGTGGTTTCCAGCTGTGTTTGTGTCACAGAAGCAGTTATTTTAAAAATCTGCTCCTTCTCTACCTAGTCTTATCCCTCGGTTTGACTTCTCTGCTGGGTTTTTGTGGTTCATTTGGTGGCATCCTGTCTACTGCTAAAACTAAGTTCTTAGATTTGGGGGGAATTTTAGTTTTTTTTATAAGAAAAAACTGTTATGTTTCCCGTGTATGAGATTCTGTCTGCTGTATTCTGTATTTTTTTATATTTTATTTTATTTTTTGACTAACTGTATGGAAAATTGTCAGTAAAGCCTTTGTCAGAGGATGAATTTTTAATCCCACCAGAGTCCTGGTTTAATCAGGTTTTTTTCGTAAAGAATGGAAGGCTTCACTAAGTGCATGCCGTATGTCATGTTTTTGGCACCACTGCTTCTAAAAGTTGTGCTGTGCTGGTTGTGCTCAGCCCTGTGCTGTCAGAACCCTGCTCACACTTGTCCATCTTAGCTGCTGGCCAGCAGGTTACAGGGCACGGGGCCCCGTTATACCACCCTGAGCTGAGCCCATTCAGAGGGAAAGCCTGGGCCTAAGATCTGTCCCAACAGCTACAGGTAGTTCTGTTGTTTTTCCCTGCCCTAAGTGTGTGCTTTCGTTTGAGCTATGGCTATTGGACAAAGCACCCAATTATAAAAGCCTGTGTGACAGAGGATAGTTTTCAGTTGTGTAGTCTTGCATTTTGGGGGGTGGGGGTGGGGAGGAACAGTGCAATATTGATGCAAAGGGCTGTGTGCATGACCTGCCCAGGTTCCCTCTGGTTCAGTCTTTTAGCCTTACTGTAGTTTAGGGTCTTCCCTATCAGTCATCTGCCTGATTCCCAGGGGTCTTAGGAGGTAAAGTTGGCATGCAGGGTGAGAGGCAACCAGACTTGTTAACTCTTCAATGTGCTTCCTTTGCTCTCAGGGCTGTGTCAGAGCGGCCTGTGCTGCAGTCAGACCCCCAACTACAGTGCTCAGTCTGCAAGGGAGTCAGTGCCAGGAAGATGCCCTTGATGAGTGACATAGTGTTTCGTGTTTTGACCCAGACATGAGGTAAGGAAATAGTACTCCTTTGTGAGAAAGAAGTCATAGTTGTGATGGGATAGAGCCCAAATCCACATCAACTTTGATATGAAGAAAACAGATTGAGTAGTCCTATGTCTGGGATGGGAAAGTAGGCTAAGGGATCTAGGCTCTGCCTTTGTTGTCTCAAGTAGAAAGCCAGATCAGGCAACAGTTGTCACCATAGATCATAGCCAGGCTCAGAATGTGGGAACTTAGTAGTGCAAGGCAGTCAGGCTGAGGAGAATGGAACCCTGATTAGAGGTTCTGCCCAGGCTAGTGCTTAGGGTCTGGCCTACTCCCTGAGCCAACACCTGTGACCCCTGGGCTCCAAGATGGATCTTGAAGGTTGTATGGTGTTGATGCCTGTCTACAAGGACAGAAATTTAAGAGACTGGACAAGAACAGGGAATTTCCACTCACTAGGCTTTGGCTGGTATTCATGAGAGATTAAAGATGGCTCTAAAGCAGTGGTTCTCAACCTGTGGGTCACAACCCTATTTGGCAAACCTCTATCTCGCAGAATATTAGCATTGCAATTCCTAACAGTGGCAAAATTACAGTTATGAAGTAGAAATAATGTTATCGTTGGTCACCACAACATGAGGAACTGTATTAAAGGGTCACAGCATTAAGAAGGCTGAGAACCGCTGTTCTAAAGCAGTAACATGAGTGTTAATCTACCTATATGTACTTGAGCTGGGGCCACTTTCTCCAGGGATTGGAGCAAGTCAGTTGACCTGCTATCCTACACTAACTACTTCAGTTGTCATCCCAGCAGAAACCAGAGCAGGCCTCATCTTGATGGACTGCTGCAGTTTTTCTTACAGATCCCGACTAATGTCACAGAACAGTTGTAGCACAGCTGGGTCCCTGTAACAAAGCAGCTTTCATCACCTGCACACCCTTTCCAGACAGAACCAGGTCACTTTATTAACCCCTCTTTGGAAAAGGGGACCCTTTGGCTCTGGTGATAACCTGTTTCTTGGTGAAGAACCACACTACACTGTAACCTTCACACCACACTAACCTTCCGCCTTCCTTCTTGGACCATCTTACCCACTTCCTTTTAGTCCTTAAAATGTAACAGGTTCTGTGGCCTCTCAGCCAGCCAGCCCTGCTAGCACTAGAGAAGGTGGGTCAGGTGGCCAAGCCCTTGTTTGATCATGACATTGTCTCCAGTGAGAAAGCTGACAGCAGGTACCCCAGTGCCTGAGCTGTTCAATCAAGGCAAAAAAACACAGCAAAAACCCCTAATTGGTAGGTTTCATAGCCTGGGTCTTAAGTGACTCAGGTTTTGAGCCCTACTAAGAACATGGAAGATGGATGTTTTCTTCTAGTCTCATGAGGCACATTCCTAAGGGAGTGTTGTCAAGTCAACCGAAATTGTGCTTTCCTGTTAAATGTGCTCATCTCTACCTTGGGAGGCCTGTGGTGCTCCCAAGAGCTCCTGGCAAAACTGCACTAGTGACAGCACAGAGTTTTTACTGTTTTCTCTTCAGCTGCACCCAGGACCAGCCATCAGGCGGCTTCTGCTAGCCAGCTAACCATTTAACGCCATGGCATGAAGCAAATGAGGACCTGAGGCCTTGACTTTCTTAACGGATCAGGATACACTTGTGTGGTACAGGCCACTTGAGTGGGACAGGTTGTTCTTGGTGTAGCAGGCTCTACCTACCCCTGGAGAGTTTTCACTGTCTCGTGTTACTTGTTTACTTTATATCCAGTGCACCCTTCTCTGTTTCTGTGGCTATGTAATGCATATGTAACAGAAACAGAGGCTACAATTTGGGCAAAATCAGAAAGAAGATTCACATTTGTATTTAGTGTGGGAAGGAGAGCAGCAGGATAAGCAAAGCACGAGCCCCTGATGCTTTGTCAGTTTTTCTCTAAATCCAGCCTGACCTCAAGTACTCCTCAACTTTTAGGACTGAAAAACTGTCCCCTCTAATCTCAGCCAAGGGGTGGCCAGGATGCTCCTTAAAGGTCCCATACATGGGGATAGAAATGTACTCCCCTACCCCTGACCCTTTCTGCCCCTTGTTATCCTCACAAAGCCTTCAGCAACTTCAGGCCAGTCTCAATTGACTATGCCACAGTCTGTCCTGGGGGGTTGCTGTGGGAAGGCTGTGGTTCTCTCACTGTGGAGGGCTCTGCCTTCCTTACAAGTCCTCTGTGGTCTGGCCGGAACTGAGAGGAGGAAAGGGAAACCCCACTTTGGTAAAAGAAAACAAGGAAAGGCCATAAACAAAGACAGACTTGTAGTTTATTTTGTATTTTTTTTAAATAAATACACTTTACATTAAAGAAAAAGACCTTTGATTTGTAATTTCCACATTGGGGAGAAAGGGAAGGAAAAAAAAGACTTGAAAAACTGAATCACAAAGAGAAAAGAGAGGGAGTGAATTTATACCCTAAAGTTCTCTCAACTCCACAAAACCAGGGTCCACGTGACTGACTGCTGCCTGGCCACCGAGGCAGGGAGCTAGGCATTTTTCCCCAGTGCTCAGGCCATGCCTTCCATTCCCACTCTGGCACAAAGGAAAACAAATTAACTTGACAGCATATGAGGCAACAAAACAGGTTAAAAAATCATATATTATATTTATAATAAAATATTCTTAATCCTTATCAATTTACGAAACCACGATTTTCCTCTTCATTTAAATACGTATGTAAAAATGCCTCTATATGTTCTTTAGACGTCATTTTCTTCCAAAGAAAATGAAGCGTAGGGGCAGGAGACTGGTGGATGAGTTCAGACCCTCATTAGAAATGCCTGGTGCTTTTTTTTTTCCTTTTTAAGTTTTATAAAAAACTATTTCTTGTTCTTTAAGTAAAGAACATTATACAAAGAAAATATATTGTGAAATACCCAGAGACATGTTTGTTTTTTCCCTTGAGGAAAGCTATGTCCTTCCTAGGAGGAGGGGACACAAACTAGGGCCGTGTGTGTGTGTGTGTGTGTGTGTGTGTGTGTGTGTGTGTTATTGTTCTTAGAAGGCCCCTCAGATTCCAGGGAGACTCTAAATCATAGTCCTCTGAATGCAGGGCATACAGTTCCTTAACTGACAGCCCTGGGAGGCAGCAAAGGGCAGGTGTTCTGAATTCACTGTTTCTCTCGCCTGCCAAGATTCTCTTCCAAGTGGGAATGGCACATCACTCATTCAGAGATAAGATGATGTCATCTTCCAAATCAGAGTTGTCCGAGCTGTCTGCTGAAAGGTAAGAGAAGGGAGAGACGATTATGTGCTAGGATTGTAGGGAAACTCCTACAGTCAACACACTTATGCCTGAGTAGGGTTAATTACCACTTTCCAGAAAGTAGAAAACACATCAATTAACTCCTTGGAGCTTGACTCCAGAGAATAAGCCTGTTGCTGGCAACAATGGCTACCCTTGGGATCTCTGGCTCTCTTGCCTTTCAAAAGACCTGAACTTAGAGGCCCTGCTTCCTGCCTGGGATGCCCAGAGGGATCAAGTAAGTGTCCTCAAGCCTCCTCCTGGGACACTGGGCTGAGGCAAGCACAGAGGTCCCAGCCCCAGGCCTAGTGTGTCCTTATGGCAGGATCTTAAGCCTGACCCAAGGAAGCAGTAGAAGGGAGGATGCTGAGTTAAAGAGAGTTCCAAGCCAGCATGAGTTTCAGAGTAAACCCTGTCTTTAAAACAAAATGTTACTAGAGGACCTGGAGAAGGTATCAGGAGGACAAAGTCAACCATTCAAAGTAGCAGATATGAAGGATAAACAATTCTAACATTCAACACAAAGACAGTACAAATAAAATTATTTCTGCATCAGATCAAATGAGACGTGACAGGGAGATAGTGGGCATGTTTACCTTTTCACTATAGTAGTAGCATTTTTATATGAGTCCCATACTTTCATGATGGATATCTTACATGGACACACTAAAATTTTTAAAAGTGAGAGGCAGGCTGAATCCCTTCCTCCACAGTCTTTAGAAGCTTACAAAGGCAGATGATCCTAGGATTCAATCCTAGTCACATAGCTACAGAAAGAGCCATCCATGACAAACAAGTAGGAAGGTAGAAGGAGCAGAGACTCAGGGCCCTTGACTCACTTTGCAGGAATGAACTCATTAACAACAGAAGGATCCACTGAGTGATGAAACTAAGTGGCCACAAAAGAGCCTTTCAAAGCCAGGTATGAGCAACACATCGACAGTCCTCCAAAGTGAAACCCTGCCCTAACTAACTAAAGGACCCTGAAAAACATATACCATATCTGTCT